AATTGCAGACCAAATTGAATCCAGCTCACAGCTACACCCATGTAAATCTGTCAATGCGGCTGAAGTGGGCCTTAGTTCTCCATTGTTTTGACCAGCTCAGCAATTTGGGAGCCGGGGCAGTTTTTCTAAACATGTGGTTTAGAACGACTCTGCTTAACGAGACTGTCCAATGGCTCAGACCCAAACCTCAGATATGTCGAGAAAGGTAAATTGTAAAGATATAAGATGTCCAAGTTGCTGTCTATAAACACTGAGGAGCCCTGCAAAGTGGAGAAGTACTATCTTGATCTTACATTTGGGGAAGCAGAGGCACAGAGGTAGTAGAGAGCAGTCCAAGGCTAGCTAGTAAATCATGGGCAAAGCTGTAACTTCCCATGTCCAGACCTAGCCTTCTTTTCTCTCAATGTTACAAATTCCCCAAGATATAATTAAAAGGATATTGTTTCCATTTTGAAAAAGATCAGTATTCCCTTTTCTGGCTAGTGCCCTGATTGCAATAGCCTGGGATAGTATGTGACAACCAGCAAATGCTTTGAGTCTGTCAGGATTCACGGGATGAAGTACAGCAATTAAACAGCATGAGCAGGGGAAGGAAAATGCATGGTTAAATTGTACAGGGGGTCGCTAGTAACACTGGCTTTGTCCAGACTACAAAAATGGGGGTGCTCAACTCGGGGTGATTGAGTCAGTTAACTTGACTTAAAGCAGCAGTAAAGACCAGGCCACTCAGGTTTTTAATTCTAGGAAGCAGCTTTAATTCAAGCCTGTAAAGATCCTGGGGTTGAACGGGAGTGGCTAACCTGAAGTAACAACCAAGTTACCTTCTTTTTTCATGGTTGTTTTATCCAGATTAGCCAACTCCAATGCACGTAGCAAAGCCCTGCCCTGTCCTGTCTTGCACAAACAAACTCATAGACTCAGCTGGTCTGGCGGTAAATGACTTAAGGCCTACATTTCAGATAACTACTGTTCTTTGGTGCCGGTTTTTGAATGCACAAATTGAAACGCTGATTCTCAGCAAGAACTCAGCCCCTTCCCCGCTCAGAATCCCTTTCAGGTGTTTCAAGCGAGACACTGAACTTTTGAGGCATCTAAAATCCCCAGTTACTTTCAAGAATGCAGCCTGGATTCCCACTGCTTTAATGGAGCGAACGACTCCCTGTTTATACAAGTGCTGAACGGATTGTAAGGCACCCAAATATGCCAGTACTTGGGGGGTCATAATCCATTGCCCAGACCAGAGGTTGGCAACCTATGGGTCAGATCCGGCCTGCGGAGCCATTTTATCCAGTCTGCAGAGCTGGGGGCTTCTCTAGCATTTTGGCAACGGGCACCTTTACCCACGTGGCTGGTGAGCGCAGTGACTGACTCCAGCTCCGGGGCAGCACGGGCCAGGTTGGAAGCAGCCCACGCTCAGCTCCATTAAAGCAACCCCTTGATGGAAAACATTGCCAACCCCTGATCGAGAGAGATGGGGGTGTTATGGGCAACCCTACCTAAGTCCTTCCCAGCCACTCCTATCACAGGAGTGATAGAAATACCCAGATGGAGAAAGAGTTATAGTGAGAGTGTGCCAGACAAAGACCTTTTGCATTCTATATATTTCTTTGACATAACTTTTTACCGTCAGATCGCATCATGCTACGGGCTGAACAGAGCTAATAAACCAGTTCCTTCACAATGCTTCATCTGCTGGCCATTGCCTCCTTCTGCGAGCCACGATTTGTTTGCTAACAGATCGCATGTATTTAATGAGCGGGTTTGCTCTTTGAAACTGGCCAACACGCATTTTGCTGACAAATTTCAGCTTCTGGGTTGCCGTCAAACTGTTGCCTACAAACTTTCAATCCAGTATATCCTGTCTGAGCTGTGCAGTTGGTCACTAGGCTCGCAGGGTGCTGTTCCTACTCCCCAGTGCAAATCCCTGCCAAGGCCTGTGCATTACTTCCGTTTGATTGCTCACGGCACATTGGCTGTCGCCTAGCACGCTCCTCAGGGCGAATTTCAACCAGGAGCATTTAATTTCCCTAGTAATGTCCTACTTTAGAGCTCAGAGCCGAGAAGAACCTGACCAAACCGTACACATCAACTATTTCAATACGGGAGTCTAATTATTTTCTTTTTTTTCCTTGTAAATGGGTAGATTGATTTTAATTTGGTGCCAATAGTGGAGTTGGTAAGAAGCAGCATAGACAGACTATGTTCCTTCAAGAGCTTGTTTTATAGCACAGAGATGGTACATCTCGAGCTGCCGGCTCCCTCCTGTGACACAAGAATGGTGGAAACTGAAAGGGAGGATAGACCTTCATATGGGGCAGAAAGACCTTCATATCCCGTACCTGCCTACTTCGGTTCTGCAATCTTTCTCTGAGGCATCTAGCATGGGCCGGTGTCAGAAACAGGATAGCAGACATGATGACTCCCTGGTCTCTGGTCTGGTAATTCCTGTTTCCATCTTCTCTACCACCTCAGGAGCCTCAATTCAGATCTCTGTGTCCTGTTTTGCCACTTACAAGGCCCACATTCACTCTCATCCCCCAATAAGAAAGAAATCATTTTTGATTCAAAATGAATTGCAGCTATCAGGTAAATCAGCTTGAAATACTGCCTTTCCCGCCCTCCCTTTCCTATTCTATATTCAGTGGGCGCGTCTACACGTGCACATTTATTAAGCAGTAACCCAAATTACTGTACAGTACAGGTGCATGTCTACACTCACACACCTGTACCATGCAGTAAACCCTGACGTGAGCATAAATTTGATACCTGCATCATGCAGATATCAAATTTATGCCCAATTAGTTACTGCACAGTAATGCACATGTAGACACCTTACTGCACAGTAACACTGTGTGGACTGACATGGGACTAACTTTAGTCCCAAGTCAGTCCACACATAACGTTAATGTGCTTTAATGCCTGCACATGTAAATGCCAACCTATTCCTGCTTACTGCGCAGTAATTTACTATGCAGTAAATTTAAGCCAGCATAAATGCACATGTAGACAACCAGTGAGCCTTATTCTGCTCTGTCAGGAGAAATTTCACTCAAGTCCTTCCACTGAAATGGAACAGAGGTGAGATAAGAATCAAAGTAGTTTCAAAAGACAAGATACAGGGGTGATTTCTATTAGAGGTAATCGCCATACCCTGGCCTAAATGTAGAATGAGGCTAAAGGTCAGTGATCCTCAATGCAGTCATTAAGGAGTTAACAGGAAGTTTAGAATAGACTAAAATATATATTTTGGAGATAGCAAATTCCCTCTGCCTTCAATGGGAGCAGATTTAGGCTTTTGAAAATCCTTCCAGTTATTGTTACTTTTCATTTCAATGCACTGTTCTACATTTTTCGTCTTTTGGATACTAAACAAAACAAGAAGCTGAGCAGGCACGTTTACTGCGGGCCTGTGGATGAGTTCCCAGTGCAGCAGCAAATCAGAGTGCAGCCATCTGCTAATTGTACAGTTATTGGAACTGACTGGGCACTTATATAGCAGTGATGAGATCCATCCCTTGTGCTCGCATTGGCCGAGGCTATGCCAGTTCAGTAAAGCAAATGGCAATGTAGCATTTGGAAGCAGCAGGTCTCAGCACTAATTTTTTTTAGTGTAAGAAGCACCTACCAGACTGACTGACATAATAATTGCGATATATTGTGAACCATAGAGAATGAAACATTTTGCCTCGCTTACTAGACAGTTTTCCCTCCCAGACTGAGTCGTCCTAAAGCCAGGAGCCCAACTGTTAGACAAGACGATGGCACCCCAGTCTGAGCACCATCCTAATGCTCACCCACAATCTGAGGAGCAGGATATCTAGGTTAAAATGGGCAGTGAATAACTAGTTAATAATGCTGATATTTGGTTTCATCTTTCTCTTTTAGAATGAAAGATCTCTTGCAGGGAATGGAGCGGTTTAATACTTGTCTGAGCTATTGTTTCTCGAGTCAATACGAGAGACCTGCTTTGGTTAATGTTTGAAAAGTTACCTTCATAACCTTAACAGATAGATTTAAAAAATCGTATAGATGAAGAGCTTTTCTTCTCTAAGCCATCAAGCTTGGGGCTATTACTGGTACCCCAGGTCCTGGGTACAGGGCTATAAATCCAAACCCAACTTCCCTACTACTACCCTTCATTGCTAAAGGTGCAATAGGACACATAGGGAAACCGAACAGCTGCTCACTCCTAACCCCATGCTTTCAGCTGCAGGAAGTAGATACATTGCTTCTGTCCAATGTCTAAGAGCCACTGTAAATGTTAAGCAATTATTTATTCACAAGGCTGAAATAAAATTACAATAAATGCCCTGAAGCTAGAAAATTCTGAAAGGCCGCTCTTCCCGCAGATACCCTTACACACAAGTATGCAAACAGGGATTGTCTCCTTCCTCTCGGCCTCCACACAGTCCTGTGCCAACTCAGCAGTTTACTCACCAGCTTGATCTTACATTGCCCTGCCAAGAATTAGGGCAAATTTGAGATTTCCTCCACACCAATATATCCCTGGAAGCTTGGTGCTACCTCTTCCTCGAGGCCTCACAAGCCTGAAGACAAGCAATAGCTGCACCCCAATCAGTCCAACCAGGAACAACTCTACCCAGCTAGTACTACTAAGCTCTGAGTGCCTCTTGGATAGGAGGCTTTTGCTAAAATCAGTCATTAAGTCTCAGAGTTAATGCTTTATTGAGGTGAAGGGAGCAGTTCACACCCCAGCAATGATCTTCCAAGTATTTGCATGCCAACTCAAGGAGACAGAAGACTTCTGGGTCAAATTTAGGTTTTCTTTGCAATCACCAGGAATAGAAAGTTACAGTTCATATTTAGATCAAAACTTGAATTCTGCAGAAAACAATGTGGCTGCCAGTGGTATGTTGGTACAGTGTCCTACTACATATTTGTTCAGTCTCACCCTTGGCTGCTCATGAATGAGGGGAGCACTTAAAAAGAGACAGCAGAGTATAAAGAAGCAGAGAAGACCATTACCAAAAAAAGCCATTTTATTGAAAATGAAATTCAAAATTCAACTTAATATTACAATCATGAGAAAATGCCAAACAATTCAATTTACAGTTGCAACATACAATACAAATAGTCCCTTTGAAGTTAAAGTAAACTCATCCACAATCATTGTCTGTGGCACAAAGCAGAATGTGTTTGTACAATATGTGCATGAAAAGCAAATCTTGGGCAACAGCATTTGAAAAAAAAAATAAAAAAAAATTAAAGCTTGTATTTACACAAAATGCTACAAATATTTTGTTCCAGCAGAAATTCAAGACTGGTAAAGCATATTTAAGAAAAAAATGGAATGTCACTCATATTACCTAAAACAAAGGTTACTGTAAAAGTATGGTTTTTGGCTGATATACGTAAAAGTACTGCATTAAAAAAGCAAAGAGTTATCTGTAAACATGGAAGTAAACAAACATCTAAAAAAGTTCTCAGAAAATGTTAACATGAAATGCATTATATTTAAAAACAATAAGAAATTCAGGGGTTCAGAGAACTGGGCTTCTTTGATTTGTACTCATGGCTGGTACAGGTTATAATTATTGCTTTTGTTCATGGCTTGTCTGTCTGAATCCTGGCTTAGCGTGTCACCCAGATTCAACAGCAGGCTCCAGTAATCAAGGTGGAGCAATGAATGTGACAGTGCAAAAGTTTCCCCACTCAAGATGGCACCTGTTGAGACTGGTAAATCCTTGCTCAGGGGACTGCTGGCAGGACGTTCAAGACTAAGGAGTACGTAGCAGCTGGTCTGTACAAAGAATGTCGAAACGTCGCTCGAATTAAATTTGGGTCTAATCCAGCTTGCTCTATTCAGACATCTAGCCTCATGGACATCCATAGAGTGACTCACATTACTATCGAGAGAAGAATATAACCCTATATTTTGATATGGGACATCACACCAGTTCTCCTGTAGAGAAATCTTTGGTACAATCAGAGAGTTGGAGATTAACAAAGGCCATTTTTTTTTATCTCTAAATCCATGAACTGTGCCAACTGCCATTCCCCAAAGGAAAGGGCTAGAGTACCTCTAACAGGGACCCTCTTTCCTTTAGATGTTATGCACATCTCCTAATGTAAGTGATCCTGTCAGATTAACTAGAACACCTTTTTTCTTCCTGAAATTCTGAATCAAGAACATCTCCCAATGTATTTGGAGGCATTCTCAAAAAGCTTCGACAGGCAGTTGTGTACCAATTTGCCTGTGCATTGACCACAATCACTAGTAAAAATAGAGGGGGATTTTTCAAAAAGGATTTCAGAGCACAAATTCCCCTGAAAGTCAATGGAACTTGGGCACTTGAATGCTGAGGTGCTTTGGAAAGTCCCCACATTACCTGCCGGCAGAGTAAAGACATTTGTCTGCTTGATCGTGGGAGGCAAACACACAAAGTTAAGTGTGCATTTTGCATCACACAGCCAGGTATGTAAACGTTTTGAAAGGCTGTCCCTACTGGTCCAGTTTAAAGAAACACGGGGACACACGAAAGAGCTCTGTTGGGTGCTGCGCAAAACAAGAATCTGGTCTAGGCTGGACTGATCCAGAAATGAAATGAAGTGCTTGAGTCTTACAACAAAGTCTTTGAAAAAAAAAAAAATCTGGGTTGCTGCCTGCAGCCACTCTAACAACATTTGAACACAAAAGCATCCCTAAAAATTACTTAATATGCACACAGTAAATCTTAAAAAGCCCTTCTCAGCAATAACAAATAATGTACAAATATAGTACCTTTTATTAAATAGGAAACAGCTTGCACTGGCAGTACATTTTTTTTTCTCTTGCTTACTAAACAAAAAACAAAACTGAAATGTGTAACCAGACACTGGCTTTTAAGTGCTGCTGAAAGTAACAAATGTATTTTACAGTTACAAATAAATGGACAGTGGTACGCTTCAAGCCACCACGAACAAACAATAAATAGAATCAATTACAGCTTCCATCTTTGAAGGAACGCTACGTATTAGAAAAGTGTCTTATTCATTTAAGCATACTTGGTATACAACCTTTAGAAGGCAAAGATTTTTTTTTGAAAGAGCACGTAACCGTACCAAATTGGGAGGAATGTACCGTGATAATGTTCAGTCTCGTAAGACGACGGTCTTGGCTATTAACTGATTATGATAATGTGGACGTTGTCCGATGAAGTCATCAGACCGTGTGACTTCGTTCACTGGCTGTTTATTGTGAGGGTAGCCCAAGTACAGCCTGTGACTCTCCTCATTATCGAGACGGAGTAGCAGCCCAAGGAGAATACTGGTTATTACATGCGATTTAATCTGGTTGGACCGTGAGAGAGCGCTGGGTGATGGGAGCTGAGAGCCTACACAGGCCATACCTCTTACTGAGGGTCAGGGTAGCTGCACTCTCCTCCATACGATATCCCCAATTCAGCAAACACTTTAGCACGTGCTCAAGTGCAGCTGAAGGTGAATGAGATTAAGTTCAGGCTAAAAATTAAGCACCTGCTTAAGTCTTATCCTGACACTGAATGGACTGCGGATCCAGGGTTAAATGTGTGCATTAGGAGCCTAATCCAAAAGCCAAGTAAAATCAGCAGAAAGATTCCCACTCCCTTGAGCTGACTCTGGATCAGGCCGTACCTACAGGCCTCAGGCTTGGCAAAATGTGGGTACCTCAGCTTTATAGGTCGGTAGCAGACAGACTGCTGAAAGGTCATGGGTGCAATTTCATATCCCTGTATCCATGTACCATGGTTAGGAGCCCTGTGTGTGGCTTTAAGGTGACTGTCATCTTCAGCGTAAAGTTTGAAGATCTGCGTATTGCTGAACACTGAACCCGCAGAGCATTGGTCTGCAGTGCAGTGGTTCCCTTGTGCTTGTTTCTTGAATATGACAACTGCCATATCTCTTTAAAAGAAAACAAAACAAACCAAAAAGGTCCTCGCCCCTCTAGCATTTGATGCTAATGAATGGTGTCACTTTAAAAAGCTAAAGCGTTTTGGTCTAGATTCTTACCCCCAATGGTTACATAGAGCTGGTTGAGACGTCAGTGAACAACGGTGATGACAATTTCCCGATGTCTACCTGACTTACACTTCTGAGCAATTATACAGCCAGCCAGTTTTACAGTCTGAAACTGCCAAATGTCACCATGTTGGCACGGTGTCGAAAATCCCAACGTTCTGTCAAAATTCAAAATCATGTGATGCTTTTTCATTGGAAATTTTTCAAATTCTTCTGAAAAAAATTGGAGCAGACAGGGGAAATCTGAGGGGAGAAACACTGATTTCCTCTCTTCGTTTTTCAACCATCTCAGTAATTGCTGATTAAAAGGCAAGATTGTGTTGAAGGCAACCAGATATCAAATAACATTTTAAATACACTATTTCCTTCATAAGTTATAAAAAGATCATACATCCAAAATCATTTGATATGGATGCATTTGGGTTGCTTTTTTTAAAAAAAAAAATCACATTGTAAACTAGTTCACACTGGAACTGCTTTTCAGGTATGGGTTTGAGGTTTACACCATTGAAGAAATGTAATAATTAACACCCCCCAACCCCCACTTTTAGAGACCGAAGTCAACATATTACATTAAGAAACATTTCAAGGGTCCAAACATCATTAAATAATTATAAATATTCCTTTAAAGTTATATGATGATCCATGTTAGCAAATAACCTCAAATTTTACACATTCATAATTTAATAAAAAAAAAAGTAGCCAAACGCAATACTATCTATACCATTTTGGCTCTAGTAACATATTGCCGCTTTCATTTTTTGCTTCAGTAATAATATTTTGTTTTTTCTTTTAGAGGGTTTTTTTGGTTCATGGACAAAGGCAAAAATAATTATACAAAAGCAAAAAAGAAACCCCATGGTTGTCTAGTCAGGTGGGTAACTTCAAGACTCATTTCTTTAAGTACAAAAAAAAGCAATGAATGGAAAAAGTTCAAACTTTTATCTGCAGCAAGGCTTGGACTCAATTTTGGAACACGTGCTATGAGCTGAATTTATTACACCAGATTGGAAACAACTTGATCTATGCTTTCCCTTTTATGTGCACCAATACAAGCCAGTTGAATTGCACTACATGTGTGAACAGGGTCCCATACATTGTATGATTGCAACTGTATCATCTAGAGTTCAAGGTTTTTTTAAAAATAAAATGGAATGCAGCCTTTGCCTTGCATCACCATATTTCTCCTGATAATTGGGGAGTCCATTTTCTCCTTATTGGCAAAAGAACTCATTATTTATGACAACAGTCGAAAAAAAAAAAAACCAAACCAAAAATAATGGGGTTATTATTGTGTGTAAAAAGCACATTTTAAATATCAAAGAAGGTAAAATGTTTCCAAGAAAAATATGTGCTTTGATCCACATAATCTGAAACATGGATGGTGGTAGGTTGGTCACTCTTGTTTTTTATGGCCATTATCATCCCAACTAAACAGTTGCACATATCAGTAAAATCTTTTTTTTTTTTTAAAAAACAGGCACTTTGTAGTAAGTCAACCATATGTTTGTTTTTTTTGGCTCACGGAGATTGGGCCACGTAGAGGAAATTTCAATATGGCCTCCAAACGGACTCATCCATTCTGCCACTAGAATTCAAAACAGTTGGGGAGCTGCTGTGGCTTCCATCTGCCTCCACACCGTCATTCTGGTTCGGCAAGTTAGGATTTAATAGTGTGCTGCCGTTCGATGTGGTGGTGCAGGGAGGAAGCATTCTGGAAGGGGAGCGGTCTCCCCCCGGCACCATGGGGAACTGGTATGATCCTGATGAAGTGCCATAGTAGAGATATGGAGTGCTGCTGGTCTGGAATGGTCCACTTTGGTTTTGGGAAGAGCCTGGGTAGGGTGGTGGCAAGTAGGTATGGTAGTGAGTGGTTGCTGACATACCCAGTGACATGCCTGAGGTGACTGGCGGTGTATAGGTAAAGGTAGCTGGATAGTGCATTCGTGGGTTGGAGAACCGGCTCTCAGTGAGGGATGAAATGCTTGTGAACTGCCTGGGATCTGAAAATGGGCCCAGCTCTGAAGCACCTAAAAATTATAACAAAAGATGGGGGAAAAATTCTGTAAATATCAGTTTGTTTTAATAAAGTGATGATATTTTTTTTTTTTTAAAGAAAACCCCGACTTCTTTTGGTCCCAGAAAAGAACATCAAATCATATCAAATCATACATTGCAAGGAACAGAATCATATACCTGTCTCGTACAAACGCTGGGCTGAGGTCATCCCTGGTGTGACCCCACTGCTGTCAATGGAGGTTGCAGTATTGCCAACCCGAAGCGTTCAAAGCAAAATTAATGAGATTTGCTTTAAAAAAAAATTAAAAAATCATAGGATTGGGGAAAAAATGGAATATTTTATCTGCCTGAGCCTTGAGGGTGAAGATGGGCCCTGCTGAAGGCTCTTCTCCACAACTCTGAGGACTAGCAGCGTTATTTTTGCTTTTACAGGAAAGCTAAGATTCTTATTTGATTGCCTGCATTCAGGAACCGGGGCTTTGGGATACAAAGAAAACCTCACCCAAAGGATGATTAAGTTATGAAAGTTGGCAACACCCCGTTAATTGCACCAGAGATGTTAATGGAGTTGCACCAGGGATGACGAGGCCCCACTTCTCTTATCATTCATTTTATTTCAGGTCCATGGTTCACTAGACTAGATTGCTGTTTCTGGTAAAGGCTATTTACTGCATGACTTTCAAAACAGGGCCAGCTACCAAACTGCTAAGAAGTACGAGAGCTTTCATTTTTAGTACGGTGAATGGAAACTTATAAGCCCAACACTAGTTCTGCTACTGAAAGAAATTGCCTGCCGTTGGTATTTCTTCAGGACGGCTATAAATGGACCAACACAACACATAGCTAGGGCAAACCTCCCGGTGATAACACTCTACAGCAAGTTTGACTCTGAAGTGAATGTAGAGATGGGTGAACTCGTTTTGGCTGACGTTCAAGTCCAATCAAACCTCCTCTGAAAGCAGCACTGGAACTTACAGGTTAGTTGGTTAGTGTTCTGCTTAGGAGACTTGTGGGGGAAAAGCAGCAGAATAAGGTGTGGTGCAAGATGGAGCAGCGTGAGAGGAAAACAACGCGTAGAAAACGGAGAGGGAGAAGGGATAAAAAGAAGTTTAATGAAAAAGTTACAAGGCAGCAAAGGCCCACTCCTGAACCTTTTCAAGGTGTGAAAGAGATCACCGATGCATGTTACTGAATCCCTTTATCTTCCACCACCTCTCCTTCTCTCTACTCCACTCTCTCTTTTGACATTACATATTTATGCAAAAGGAATCCAGATGTAAATTCCAGGGGAAATGATCATGAAACCTTGGTTTACCCATCTCTTCTCCCACAACTCTTTTCTTCAAAGGGAACTCAGCCCCCAAGTCCTCAACCCCCGGGTGTCAGAATCACTATATTAAAGACTGAAGTTTCTGCTTTATCTGAGATAGAAACTATTGTCCAGGGGGTAGCAGTGCATTTTAAACATGACCTGCAGACATTCCCATGTACAGAGAGGGTGGCTTCATTTCTCTGGCCATTTTATTTAGAGACAATAATGGTAACTGCTATAGACAACCCCAAAATCAAAGGATCTTGCGGAGACTGCCAGCAGGCATGGTGGCTCTTGTGATGTGAACAGTGACCAGCAGAAACCGGACCAGGACATCAATTTATTTAACATAAACCACTAAAATGATGTCAGGTGATAAACAGGAACGTGCTGAGGAACAGTCTTCAGATCCAGATCAAGTTTAGGGTAAAGTATTTGGGCTTCATCCAACAAGGAATCAAAATCATAGTATACGACTGAGATCGAGGGATTCTAATGCAACCCTTCCTGAAATACAATCCTTATCTGGAGTTGAATCAGTGACCTAGAAGTGAACAGCTTTGTATCCATTATCAACCGCCTAAACCATAACACTATGGAATGTAATATAACTTGTACCTTTATAGCAAACACCCTACCACTTGCTGAAAACGTCTTTGATTCCCAACTGCAAACAACAGCCAGAGGCCATACCACCCAGAAACAAAGCTGTTATTCTGGAACATTATCTCTGATATTGTGAAAAAGCCTGATATGTATCTGGAAATATAAGGACATTGTATAATTTCCTCGGCTGCTCCAGATACCGAGCCTCAAGCTGTTAGCGCTTACACTGAATTTAGACAAATGTAACTCCACTCTGCCTACTTTCCCCTGGCATGATTCAAAAAAGACCTTTAAATATAAAAATAGACTGTGTATGTATAAGGCTATTTATATAAGCGCGCACTTTGTATTGCTTTTTTCTTTATGATTAATACAATATTTTTTTTAAAAGAGCACAATTGAGATATTTTGACTTTTTGAAAAGTCTATTTTGTTATCACTGTTGATTGCAAAATATAGGCCCCTTTACCAAATGCCAAAGCAATGAAACCTTTCCTACTCTTGGTCAATGGTTTGTCTTCCCTGTTCCTACTTCCAGTTCAGCACATGTATAAACCACCTCCTAAGCAAAGCTAGGAGCACTGCCAAGAAACAAGCTGCCCACTCACGCCCATTCAGTACATGCCCAGGCTTGCATCTATGGCACAACAGATGGCCCAATGTGGTTCTAAGCCATCTTAAGCCACTCAGGCTTGCTCTTGGACCTAATTTTGTAAGTTTAGTCATGTGTGGGTGGAGCTTATTTCTCAGTAGTATGTCAGGCTTGCTCAGGAGACCGTTTAAATGTACCCTGTGATACTTTCCCAATTTTCCAAATCTCCCTCTAGCTAAATATTTTGGACATCCTTCTGAGCTTTTGGATTTTGTTGCTTGAAACTACAATTCGAATTTGTAGTATTTCTCTATCTCATTGGAGGGCCGACCAGAAGTGTTGCACTACCGGCGTTATTCTCTAGAAAATAAATTTGCACCCTCTGCCTCATGCCCCATCCTTCTCAATCTTGCTTTTCCAAATGTATCTTGAACCTCTAGCTCTAAGAATAGTACTCAGACTCTATCCGGCTATGAAACTTCGCAGTCTCCTTTTGTCCTAACCTTTGTCTTTCCCCTCGTTGCTACCAACTCCCATCCTTTAGTTTGAACTCAGGCCCCAATCCTGCAACTATTTAAGTTGTGTAAATGTAGACACATGCTTAGAGCCAGATCCTATCCCACCGAATGGGTGCCTCAGTGCTCCACCCGATCACGTTATGGGAAAAAAGTAGATGGGTCCGTCTCCACAGTACACTTGTGTGACATAGGGCATGGACACATGTAACAACTGAACTGTTCCCAAATCTCACTATTTAGGAACCAATTCATGATTGTTGTGGGTCGGACGTGTCCACACATACAATCCTCTAGCATTTTAGGTAGAACGCTAACCTTCGAAGTGCTCACCTGCTGTGACCATGACATCTAGAGATGGGAGTGAGCACCCAGACCAGCCTGCCTCACAGTAGGTGAGTGGGGCAGTGGGGGGAGGCCCAGGATGTGGACGACCTGTGGCTGGGCGTGCTTTCACTTTTCTCCTTTCTCTTCTCTCCTAAAATTGGGTTCAATAAAGTCAAGTAGCCTGCACTTGATTGAATTCTGCATTGCACTTGCCTGTCTTAGGGCACTTAAGGGCAGAGGGGGTGCTTGGACCCACACTTCTGGGTTCCCAGGGGCTAGAGGGAGGGCACAAAAAGGGCCCACAGTTGAGTAGGGAGTGAAGATATAGGTGTTAGAAAGATAGCTTCCACTGAAGAAGCTGTGCAAGGGAACTCATTGATAACAAATAGGTGGGCAGTAGAGTTGTGGCTGCATACCAGAGTGGCCAATTGCAGCAGGGGACTGGGGGAGGGCATGGCAAGTGATGCAGAGTGGGATGCCTGGGAGATCGACCTGACCCATCTCGCAGAACACTTGGTGTCCACAAGTAACACTGAACCGATGCACTATGCACTAGATCAAATGAGTACCAGATTAGGTACACTTTTGAACTATTCTAGGTGGTTTTAAAACAGTTTAACAGGTTTGTAGGTCTGTCCATTTCAGGGTTAAACTACATGTAAACCAGGCTAAGTGTTACTTGTGTCCATAACCTTAGTCTTAAGGGGAAGATGATGGTATGTTACAAAAGCAGGTGTGTAATTTTTGAGGGACTCAAACAGGGTGGAATAGGGTCACCTGACCCCGCATAGGCCCCCTAATAGGTAAAGTGGGATCTGGAGTTCTTTGCTGCAATAGAAAACTAGATAGTCAGCTCTTCTGGGTGTTGAATCTAGTCGTATTTGTGCTTGCACTGTGAAGTGCTGTGCACCCAAGTAGCAAGGAAGATGCAGGAAAGTATTTATGATCCCTTCCATGACTGAAGATTCACATTGATTTTTTGTCTGATAAAACAGTGGGAAAAGCACTTTAATGTTGCAGCCTCTTGATCTCTGCAAGTGTTACTTTGAGCAAGTGTAGCAGGCAAGCTGCAGCCTGTTTCATGGCTGCAAACCTTGGCTCAGCTGCACCTCTTTAGAAAACGTTGCATTTCCCCTCTTACCTCTGTACAGCCAGAAATGGAAATAGGTACTCCTACTGCTCTTTCTTCTTCCTCTATGATATCACCATTTTATGGAGTTTGACAATACAAAAGAAAAAGAGAAGTGTAACAGGGAGCTCCTGTTACATTAAGGGAGAAGTAGCAGCAGGTGGAGGAAGACTGTGAATTATGCTTCAGGGGAGGGGGACCGGCAGCCAGGGACACACACAGGGTGCAAGTGCCTATTGTAGGGCAAGCTGCCTAGCAGTAGGACACTAGGGCAGAGCCCTGGTTAGGCAGTAAGGGCACCAGCAGTAAGCTGCCCTGGAGGCCGAAGGGATATACCTGTGGCTGGTCAGGAGAGCACCTGGGAGCCAGGAGATATAAGCCTGGGCCCCCAAGGCAGAGGGGTGGTGCAGCCCTGAATTTGGTCAGGAGAGGAGCTCCTGCCTGTTCAGGCTGGTGGGGATTAACAGCTGGAAGCCAGGAGCCTGAGACAGCCAGAGAACGGGGAGGAGGCTTGACATAGTATAATAACC